CCCCCCCCCCCGTGGGCCCCTCCGCCTCCCCGCCCTCCCCACCGGGTCCCCCTCCGGACCGCGTCCGCCCCCAGCCAAGAGGGCTCTGCTCCCAGGCCCCGGGGTCCTCACCCGCTTCCTCCTCCTCAGCTTCAAAGCCCCAGGGCCTCCACAGTGTCTGCCAGGCCACGGCCCCGCACTGTCATCACTCTCCCAAGACTTGCCTTCTTCCCTCTGTCCCCCAAACCCAGCACTTTCCATCTAACTCCTTCCCCTCCCAGCCCCCTCGGAAGGGCTGCTGGAGAAATGCCCCCAAAAGCCGGGGGCTGGTGCCCACAGACTTGACAGGCCAGCCTGAGCGGGTCCTCAAGGCAGCCTGGCGGCCTCAGCCCATTCCCATTACCCCTCCCTCTGCCCTCCTGACCACTTCAATCTCCATCATCTTCTCACCACCTCTGTCCTCTCGTCCTTGGAAGGCGACCTCAGCTTCCACGGAATAGAGGAAAAGCTGTTAGGGCAGAACCTCCTTGACTCCAGCTCCACCTCCTACGGTTGCTCAGTGTGCACACACATCCTGCCCTCCCATCCGTGCCTCTGCATCAGGATCCGCTGCTGGCCTTCCCCATGGCTGCTCACTTCCCTGCTGCCCCTGAGAGCAGAGCCCACCTTCTGCTTCAGGGGCCCATGGTGCCACACGCCCATTTCCCACCTCCCTTGCAGAAGGACCAGAGCGCATGAGCCCGTCCTAACCTAATCAAGGCGACATGCGGGGAAATCTGCAAGGCACTTTGTAGGAAAGGTTTTTCTTCCTAGTCAAGGCCCACCAGCAGAAGCCCCAGTCTTTGGCTGGCTTCACTGAGAGTTGCCACAGTGATGTTGGGGCGTGGACCCAGGGCAAAGGCAGGAGACTCATGGAGAAACAGATCCAGAGCCCTGAGACGCACGGATCCCGGACACTCTACTTTGGACCCTTGATACTGACAGAATATATTCCTCACAGTCTAGGCCATATTTCTTGGGTCATCTGTCACTTGCAGCTGAGAGCATCCCCTTACCCAAGCCTGATACCTCACCTGTAGCGGACCTGTCCCCTTCTTGGGGCTCTGCCCTGCCACTCACCCCACTTTCTCCTATAACGTCAGTGTCTCTGGGTGCCTTCTTTCTCAGCACATAAAAATACGTTTATGTCTTTTTCATCATCTCAAAACAAGCACCAACAACACGACACAAAACCCTCCCTTCCCCCCATTTCCACTGTTGCTCAGGAAGGAGGTGGAGAGGTAACTACAGATGCACATAGAAGGGCCCCCTAAGTAACTAAACGTGGAGATGCTAAAAATAAGGATGCAAAGCACTGTCCCCAGTACAGGGATGACAAGCCTGCCCACCTCACCCCCCTGCTCTGCTGCCCCTGGGCTCGCTGACCCCATTTATAGGATGTCACTCTTGTTGCCGTCAGTGACTTATAAACCATTTCACACGTGCACGTTTCTGTTCTGTCTCCAAGTGGCCAGTAAGGTTTCTCAAGCATGCATACCCAGAACCCAGACTGTGGCGCCACAGACCAGAACCTGTATTTCACAACCTCCCAAGGTGATTCTGGCACGTCCCAGAGGTGGAGAACCACGGCTGGCGGTAAATCGTTTCCACTCCGTTGTTCCTGTATGTCCATCAGATCACCTTGGAAGGTGGGTGTTCTTGTACCTTCAGGACTCTTCAATCAGTCCTTTACAAATTTTAATGGGCATATGAATCCCTGGGGATCTGGATAAAATGCAGATGTTCTGATTAAATGAATTGGGGTTTGGTCCAAGATTTTGCGTTTCTAACAAGCCCCCAGTTGCTGCTGGTCCGGGGACCACACTTTGAGTAGCAAGGCTCTGAATCACCAAACGTTAATCCTGGAAGGGACCTCAGAGGTCCAGGTCCTACCCCTTTACTTTTCGAATTTTCAAGGAGGTTAAAGAACTTAATTTTGCAGAGATCTTTAATGGAAGTGGAAGGAAGCATTTCCCCGATGCTGCCCAGGCTGGTCGCCCCTCCTCAGCCTGGTGGGGCCGTCAGGGCACTAAGAGGCCTTTACCCATGCACTTGGGCTAGCCTGCTCTCCCAGGACAGACTCACCCCTCGAGTGATCCTAAACCAGCCTAACTTGGGCATGCAATGGCAGGGAGGATTCCCCCACCCACTGTGGTGTCAAGATAACCCAGGGACATAGCTGGCCG